GAACGCCATTCGAAAGAGTGTTTTTTGGCCAATAAGAAATCACTATTGCAGAATTTTTTCTGTTGAGTTTTTATGTTAAAATATATTGTCAAACTTTGGTCCACAAAATTGTACATTTGGGTGTTAATGGGTTAAGTGTGTACTGTTGATCTATTACCACATGATTTAGGGAGCTTTCTACGTTTGAGCTAGAGGCGCTGTGAGTATACGTCACAGCGCTAACCTAGAAAATACCAGGATTGCAGGATTGGCAGAATGCCCCCAATACGGTTTTTACGCGAAAACGTATTGGCAGAAACTCACCGCCAATACTATTCGCTCTCTTTCAATACTGCTTTTTTTACTGGGTACTTAATTTCTATAAATAAATCTGAATTTTTGCTTCTTCTGAATATCTTTTTGAATTCAGTGACTTTAATAACATAAGAATTGAATATATAAAAAAAAATATGGTGGATTCAGAATGGCGGATCTAAAATGGTGGATTTAAAAAAAAATTGTTTAGATTTCCGTGAAACTTGTTACTCGGGGGTTTTTGGGGTCGCTGATTACGAATATGATGTTAGTTTATAAAAATTCAATATGGCGGTTCCAATATGGCTGACAAAAAAAGAACAGATTTCTTAATTTCTGTCTTGAGTACCTTACCCTCTTCGTTTTAAATGATCTCCGGAGAGGAGCTCTTTTTCTCTTCTTTGAAGTTTTAGTCTCTGGTATATCTCTTTTTAGCGTCCAACAATAGTCCGCTAACATATTCTTTCTCCATTTCCCTTGTTAGTGTTTCTCCATATCCTTTAAATCTTGGTGAAATCTCTCGCCTTGTTCCTCGCTGAAATCACCAAGATTTTTAGGAAATTCATCTAAATGTGAATCCAAAAAGTGAATTTTATAACTCATCAAACATCCCAGCATTTTAAAATTCTCTACCATTTTTCCTACAATTTCTCTATATTATGTGGCTTTCTTTACTTTCTTGAAATTCCAAGCAAACTTCTTTAAAACTTGTCCAGGCTGCTTTTTCTTTAAGCTTTATCGTTTGTACAAATTTTTCGTCATATAACAACTTACGTATCTGAGGCCCATCAAACTCGCCTTCTTTGATTTTAGCGTCAGACAGTTTCGGAAACTTCTCCGCCAAATACTCAAAACATTTACCATTTTTGTCCAAGGCTTTTACAAATTGCCGATACTGAGGTATCCCTCCTCTGCATCGTAAACTTCTTTTCAACTTTTGCCATGAAGGCATACACTACCGTCCGTGAGTATCAGGACGCCCCTTTTTTCATGAGTGGAAAAATGCTTAAAACGTAGAAAATAAGAATGACAAAATTTTTTCGTATTTTTTTTCTGAAAGCTAATGAAATTATGAAAAGACTGACACCTGATCGAAGAATTTTCGTTGACTATTCTGTCAGATACAGAAAAAATACTGGATTTTGCATGCTTTTCGTAATTTTTTAATTTCTCGAAAACTAATTAACTTTTTTTAGCGTTCTTGGTCTTGTTTCAATCTCTATTCAATGTAGAATCTAAATTAATTAATGGTATTGTGATATAAATTTTTCCAAAAAAATTTGAAACTGTAAAAGTCGGATAACAAAATTTTGAAAAACAGATTGACACTTTTTCACCAAAAAAATATTTTTTTAAAAATTAAATAATTAAGTAATTAAAAAGCTTTTTTGAATTTTAGTATATCTATTAAATGAACATATTTTACATTGACCTTTTTGACACTTTAATATTCATGATAATTTTTTGAATTTTTTTAATCCTCCTTTTACGGTTTCAAATTTTTTTGGAAAAATTTATATCACAATACCATTAATTAATTTAGATTCTACATTGAATAGAGATTGAAACAAGACCAAGAACGCTAAAAAAAGTTAATTAGTTTTCGAGAAATTAAAAAATTACGAAAAGCATGCAAAATCCAGTATTTTTTCTGTATCTGACAGAATAGTCAACGAAAATTCTTCGATCAGGTGTCAGTCTTTTCATAATTTCATTAGCTTTCAGAAAAAAAATACAAAAAAATTTTGTCATTCTTATTTTCTACGTTTTAAGCATTTTTCCACTCATGAAAAAAGGGGCGTCCTGATACTCACGGACGGTAGTGTAATTTTAACCTAGAAACTTAGCCGAGAATTCGTTGCTCGCCTTCACTACGGGGAGGTGTCCTAATCGCAAAAATAGAAAAAAAGAAAATAAATAAACACGGAAATTAATTTTACATCAGGTAGCAGTGAGAGGCCCAGAGGCGCTCACCGCTCACCGACTGGTATAGTCCTTTTCGACAGCGCGTAGGGTCAGTTGCTACATCCGGATTCTCAATTCATAAACCTTTATAAGCGAGAGAAATCGCTCTTAGACCTTTGTAAGTGAGAAACCTCTATAAACGAGAGAAAATTGCCTGTCCCTTGAACTCTCGCTTATCCAGGTTCGACTGTACAGAGGATTAATAAACCTCGTTGTCGAGCACAAAATGAATATTATATGTGTTACGGTCAATGACCGGAATAGGACAATGTTTAATAATGCCCGGGCAATGTCGACATTGCCTACAGCCGCTGGGCTAATACCAGTCGGGTAGCAGTGAATGACCCAGAGGCTCTCACTGCTCACTGACTGGCAGTTACGCGTTCCTCTGAGCGTCGGGCGAGTTATTCGATCCAAGGCCTCAATTATACTATTTCCAAATTCTGAAAAAATTGTAAAAAATATTTGTGGATATATTCGGAAATACTTCTGTTAAAATACTAAAGCAAAATTCTTCTTTTTCAAATCCCAGAAGAATTTCAGGATAATTAGACCTATAACAAGCAGTCTTTCCAATTCGCCTTTTCGCTTGTCTATTAAGTATTTTTTTACTGGTCAAGGACATCAAAAAAGAACTATTAGAAAAATACCCATCGCCGGGAAATTGTTATAGGACAATTTCCCGGCGATGGGTATTTTTCTAATAGTTAATAGCGCCGAAAATAAATCCCGAAATTGAATCAGTAGCGGGACAACATTCTCTTAAAAAAAAAAGTTTTCAGGTGATCACCCAAAATCAACGTGCGCTGAAATTTCGGCATTGGGTATGTTTATAACAAAAATTAAAATTGGGACTCAAGCCCCAAAGGGGGCGGCACGGCTCTCGAAAGAGGAACAAGTTGATTACGAAACTGCAATTGAAGGGTTAATCAAAAAGGCGCGATCTCCAAATGCTCGCCTGTCAAAACCAGTTCATCTCTCTTTATTTTCTCATAGAAAAACCAAACGGGGAAAAACAATTTACACTGAACTCACGCTGTAAAAAATGGGCTCGAATGTCCTGTGGTCCATTACAGCAAGAGTACCCTTGAAACATGGTCACAATAACATTCAGGATTGTATGGAGTTTTGAAACATCGATTCTAAATTATTTTTTTTTAGTTTTTTTATGCACAAATTTTTAACTAAAAACAAGTAATTAAGGAATGGAATCATAATTTTGGGAAATATTTTCGACTCATGTTCGCGGACTTTTCAGATATTTACACAAACATATTTTATGTGTACACGGAGAGAAGATTCAACAGCAAAATGCTGTGTATGCACAGCAAATCAACGTGTCAGAGGAGCACTAGATTGCGCATGAACAAATACACTGGAAAATACTGTGTCACTCACATGAAATCTTTGTGCCGACACAGTATTTTTGAGGTTGTACAGAATAATTCACAGAGGGCGCACTCCCGTTTCCCCGCTTGCCACCTCATTATGAAACTAGTTCATAACAGTGTTATGTCAAAAACGAGAAACCATTTCGCTGGGGGTTGGTTTCCAAGTTTTGAATTGAGTCGCAAGGGCTGTTGCTTGCTGCTCGGTATCTTTACAATATCCATTTCTAACAAATTAGTACAACCGATTTCTCGAATACTTTTAGCAACGCCTTTCCAAAATTCATTTAAAATACATACCATTTCCTCGATGAATTCCTTGGGTTGATCCTTATCTGTATTTATGTTCTCTGTGTATATTGGTTCCCAAGTAATTGCGAGGAACGACGACCGATCTATGATGAATACCATCTTATTATAAATTGTAGGGCTCTCTCTGAAATAAGAAAAAATATATTGGGTGGGTTAACGATGAGGAACAATTTAAAAGCATATGGTTGAACTTGTTCAATGATAGAGATCCGTTATCAATCAAAAAAGTTGTCAATTTTATTTACGAATTGTTAAATTGTACGTTCTTAGAATGAAATGTAGATTAGTATAAAAATCAAACTATGCATCAAACTCCTTTGTATGGATGTGATATCCTTAAGCAAATAAATATAATAATAATAATAATAATATTGGTTTCCAATCACATGTTTTCTTGAGGGGTTCTGGAGGGGGGGGGTGATGTTAGCTTTAGCTAAGGTTACTCCTGCTTTGATTTCTTGGGGTTTCGAATTGAAATTAATGATAGGTACCAAATAATCCGAGTTTTGGCCTACCACACTAGCGAAATTCACTGAAGGGGGTGGAATCACAATGTCACTTTTCAGAGATAATTTTTCAACTGAAGGGGGGGGGGGGTAAATGAAATTTTTGATAGTCTTGCGAATTCACTATAGGTAAACATAAACTTACCTTCTTTTCACTTGGTATCACTATTCCATCTAAAGATACACTTGCGATGATATATCCTGGGCAATTTGTGAAGAAGTGCTGGGGTCCAAAACTTTTGAGAACAATTTCTTCTTCGCGAATTTCGAGTCCTAATTTGGTTACCAGAGATGATTTTATGGTGCATTCCGCGGCTCCTGGATCAATGAGTGCAATCATTTTATTATCGTCGACGAGTGCTTCTTCTTAAATAACAAAATGCTAGCAATTTAAACAAAGATTTTCAAAAATTAATTTTTCTGAAGTTTTTTGGTTTAAAAAAATAGTAAAAATTAATATTTTTAAATATTTCTAGTTCAGGCGATAAGCTCGCAGTCTCACTAAACATAAATCAACTTGAATTTTGTGTTTCAGATTTTTCTAACCGGAGAAATCAATTACGCATCTGGCATCGGTACTTTCAGCAGGTCTAAAAGTAAGGGAACTGTTCCGGTTGTGGGCACCCTTTTGTTTTTGCCTCATAACATTTGTCCATGTGCATATTATACAAAAATATGTGTACGAATTTAAAGCTAGAGGTCTAAGGTGACTGTCAGTGAAGGAATTAAATTGATTCCTTTAAATAAAAAAGTTTTATTAGAAATTTAGTGAAATAGAAATTTTTTGACAAAAAAATTTTTGTACCCGGTTGTGGGCACCCTTGAAAAATCCGCTAAAAATGGAAAAATATTAAAGGAAACCAACACAAATAAAGAAGAAATGAAAGTTTCTTTATTTTAAGAGACTTTGCCGGGATAAAGAACAAAAATGATGACACGTTTTCACACTATGCTCATCGCTAACAAAAGCATAATGCTTGCATGATTAGTAGCTAGTACGCATACCATAACGCACTTCTAATGCACTGAACGACTATATTCATCGCATTTAATGGAGTTTGCGGCTGTCACATTCCTTGGCAGAAAGTTTAGATAGATGAGACAGTAGTCCACATCATTGTCAGATGGTAGAGTCTCCTTAACATAAAGGTGCCCACAACCGGGAATGAGAGTCATTTTTTAAAAAGACCAACACATTTTGTGATGCAGGATTTTGGTTAAACACGAAGGTAAATCACAAAATATAATGACAACACTGCAAAAAAAAATTAAACCCTATTTTTCTGAACGAATCTACACCCATATGTGACGCTCCACGAGAAAAGGGACCTTATTTACTCTTGTCATAAGGTCCCTTTTCTCGTGGATCGTCACATATGTTGCTCTTCGAAAACAATACAAAATTACTTTTTTATTAATTTAATGCAAATTTTCTTTATTATGCTCACAGTTATTACACAAATGCATATATTTGTTTCGTTATCAATACGAAAAGTCCGTATTGTCAACGAACACGACTTGCAATACTTAGATCAGTAAAGTCTGCTTGCCATCGAAGTTTACGTAGGGGTTCCCACAACCGGAGCGTGCCCACAACCGTTAGAAAGCTGATTAAAATCTGCGTAAAATAAGCCGTTTTTGAAATCATTTCGTTAATTATTTTTTAAGTTGTAGAGTGAGAAAGAAATAAAAAAAATTATCAAATTTTCTAATTTTTGTCTCTTGACTTCAACTTTTTCAAAAATTTAGAAAAATTTAGATAAAATTTTTCTAAAAACAGAGAAATCTTCGTTAAAATTTCAGCTTTAAAATAAGCCTTCGAAAATTAAAAAAGGATAATCCGTCTTCGATATATCATTAAAAATGTGAAGCCGTGTTTCGACCGATTGGTGCATTGAAATTCAACTGTGACGACTCGATTGTGGCTTTGCGCGGCAGCGAATGAGAGAGAAGACAGGAACGAATTTTTGCGGGGGTACGATGAACTTTTGAGTTTCTTTATATATTACTCGTGAAAAATCATTATTTATTATTCTCCAGCATAAATTCGTCCCTGTTTTCTCTCATTCGCTGCCGCGCGAAGCCAGAATCGAGTCGTCACTGTTGAATTTCAATGCACCAATCGGTCAAAACACGGCTTCACATTTTTAATGATATATCGAAGACGCATTAACCTTTTTTAATTTTCGAAGGCTTATTTTAAAGCTGAAATTCTAACAAAGATTTCTGTGTTTTTAAAAAACATTTATCTAAATTTTTTTAGATTTTTGAAAAAGTTGAAGTCAAGAGACAAAAATGAGAAAATTTGATAATTTTTTTTATTTCTTTTTCACTCTACAACTCAAAAAATAATTATCGAAATGACTTTAAAGACGGCTTATTTTACGCAAAATTTAATCAGCTTTCTAACCGTATTTAATTCTTTCTTGTATCTCCTTTTATTTCCGAGATATGATTGAAAAAGTGATGGCATGTCTTTTCATAGAGTCGAATGTAATCGTCCTGATAATTTTGGACGGTAGTGTAAATAATATTTTTTTAATAAAATAAGCTTTTTTATAAAGTTAAGGAGTGCATTTATTGAACTAAAAAAGATGCAAATCAATATAATCCATAGCAATCGTAAAAAAATTCTAGAAAATAGCTTCATTTTCAAGCGTGTAAAGTGGTAAGAAACCTTAAATTATGAATGCATTTTCATAAATAATTCAAGCTCAAATCCAAAATTTATGTTTACCTCTCGAAAACTTCAAATTCATTTTCTTTGAATTTAAACAAAAAAATTTATTCCGTGAAATCGATCGTCATATTATAAAATATATCAAAGAGAACGAACTTGATCGTATTTCCTTCGATTTTTTTCCTGTACATTAGATTGAATTGCAATGTTGTCGAAGCACGTAGTGTAAATTATAAAGAAAAAAATTATCAAAGAATATTAAAAGACTTTATTTCTTTATCGAGATATAAAGGAAGTTTTAGAAAGTAAAAAGGGTTGACGGACACATTCAAAGCACGTTTCGTGCGAAAAAATGTAAGGTCAATCCTCTAACTAAAATTGAATTTTAAGTAATCATCGCGTAATATTTTGTAAAAGAACAAAGAATAATTTATTAAAATAAACGACATTAATCGATTTTGTCTTAGTGGAAATGAAAAATATATATTTGCAAAAAACTATGAATGAATTATATTGGACAAATCGACCTACTTACAAAATCTCAGTATAATAATTTATCTTTAATGATATAATTATCAGAGTCGCATATGTACTTTTTGTGCCTTTAAGAGATGCAAACATTAACATAACTGGGCTCAGTCTTAGTATAATGGAAAATCATAAATCTTTATGCATCAACTTGAAGCACGCCCCACCTCCTTAATAATATTGATTCCCGGACGACCTTCAATCATACCTTTCCAGGGCATAATTATCGCAAATTATGTAGCTGGGCGAGAAAACTGCTGAGGTCCCAAAGACATTACAAATATGTTACTCGTAAAGTCCTCAGCCAATATTATTCAGTCATAGTTTGTGTTTTTTTAATAAACCTTAAAATGGAAACTGAATACGATAATGAAGATTGAACGCAATTAAAACATTATTCCTTTTGTTAGTGAATCATAATTTAAACAGTTTCAATTAAAGCAAAAAGAATAATCAAAGCAGTAAATGATTTAAATTTTGCCAGATAATGAAAACTCTTGTCGAAAAGAAACAAAATTATGCATCCGACACTTGAAAAAAACTGTTAATCAAGATGTAATAGTAAAAATTATTCTTGACTGCAAAAATTTTGATATTTAAGAGGACTTTCAGGCGCAGAATTGGTAAAAAACACACTTTCTTAAACTCTTATTGTAATAAATGTATTATAGGGGAGACTGGGGCTAAACCGGACAAGTCAAATATTTCCGAAACCATGAAGAATTTCAAATAATGTAAATAACCTGTGAACGCAATATTTCGTAATGCATATGTTGCATGAGGTTTCAGGGAAATATCATTTTTCTTGTAATAATAGTTGCTGTTAATATATGAAAATGTCGTTTTACGCACAGTAAAAGTAAAATTTTTTTTTCTTATTTTTTTGGGTTTTTATCGTTATAATTAAAGTGCACATATCATATGGCAATTTTTTGATTAGCTGAAGGTGTACTGAGTTTAGTAGAAAAAAAGTTTAATGGAAAACGTTAAGAATAAAAAATTTATTGCAGGTTACACGGAGAGAAATTTATAGTAGTGGGTAACATAATTGTGGTTAGGGTGACCATCTTTAATGCTACGTATTGGGGATTTAAAATTGCAATGCGACACATAGTGACCATAACGTGAACTAAAAAAAATGGCTACTGTGGGTGTACAAGGTTGCAAAAAATGTTAATATTTAAAGTATTCTAATGTTTAAGAAATATTTGTTAAGATTGTTGGTCATTATTTATCTTTTTATTGAAAAACTACTTAAAATTAAAACAGAAAAGTAACAATATAAGTTTATATTTTTTTAAATTTGTACACCCATTTCGTCCATTTTTGGTGTAAAACACTAGCGACACCGAGCCCGCGGTGGTAATTTTTATTGCCAATACAGACAGCTATCTAGATAGTCACCGTTACCATCAATATCATCAGGAGTAACATCTTGGTAGTACGGGGTAGCATAACTATATTTTTTTTAGCATCTGTGATGGTTGGCAGTAGCATAATGATAGTATCGTGTAACATCATCTTTTTAACATCAAAATCTGACTATCCATTTCTCTCAGTGTAATTATTCGATAACGGTGTGGGGCTAAATCGGACGTCGTGATAAAAAACAATCAAATTTGCGAATAACTATAATTTATTTTATATTATATTCTTTGCATAGAACCACTTTATCAATAAATAAATACAGAATTTATTTTAAAACACGAATTAGCAAGCGAGCTGCTTAAATCAAACAAGTCTGAAAACTATAATTCATTCTATATTGTATTAATGACCTATTTTACATTTTATATTATATTCTTTGAATAGAACTACCTACAAATAAATAAACAAAGAATTGATTTAAATTTTCTACAAAAAAAAACGAAAATTTGTGTCTCTCTCTTTAATTAATTTGCCGTGTCCGATTTAGCCCAATGGGGTGTCCGGTTTAGCCCCACCAATTTTGGGATTTTCGTTTTTGAGATAGTCATCTTCCAAGCAATATATCACCAAAGCTACTGTAGTTTTTTAAAAACGAACAAGTGCGATTTGTAGATGAAGGAACAAGCTTCAAAACGGTATATTACTCTTTAGCAAAAAATATTTTTTTCTATGAGTTTTTCGGTCAAAGACCAAATTCGTCCGGTTTAGCCCCGGTCTCCCTTAATTGTTGCAAAATGTAGGTCAGGTATTTTAAGGGCAGTTTTAACCTACAGGTCCAAAGTTGACAAACTAATCCCTCTCGCCTCACAATTTAGGTCAATTTTAAGAGCAGCTTTAACCTACAAGTCAAAAATTGACAAATTAATCCCTCTGCCCTCAAAATTTAGGTCAATTTTAAGGTCAGTCTTGACCTACACGTCAAATATTCATAAACAATGACTTCTGCCCTCGAAATTTAGT